GCAAACAATTCCTACATTTTGTATCCTTGATGATTGAATTAGTTACATTTTATCAAATAAAGTAAGTTGTTTGGTACAGCTGACATGACATGCAGAGTGAGACAGTTTTTGCAACATTTTTAAAGTTTATCTCCAAAAACTTATTTCTTTTCTCAAAAACTTATTTTTTTGGCTCATTTAAAGAAGTATATTTATTTTTCGTTGAAAATTTCTTTAGCGTTATTTTATTGATATCTTATTAAAGCCAGCATCTGCACATGCAAAATTCTCATACTTTTTCGTAAATTAACCATTATTAAATTTATTGCGAATCTATAAAATCCTTTGAGTTGTAACCTGTAAAGTTTCACGGAATAACTGCACGATTCTGTCATGAATCTTGAATAAATTCCGCAATAAGCGGATATGCTGTTTTCTAGATATGCCATAAAAGAACGTCATAGAGCAGTCTGAAAGTAATTCGAATTATGTTCATTACAACCAAGATTGTAAAACAGCTTTTATATACGCGTGAAAAATGATTCTACAGCCACATTTCCCAAAAACACAAACTTCAATTTTTAAAGAACTCTGTCTTTCATTCTTTCTATCTTTTATGCAAAATTTGATCCATCTTTCGCGGTGAAAAGTCGGTGCTGGTGAGTTGACCATAGTCCGTATATTGAGTGGAAATTCGATTATGCGAGTTGTTTATTGATTTATATACGGGGTTCCTTGAGAGTTTCAAGTTTTCCCTTTCTTATTGCAATATCACTTTGCACAAATATAATGTACTTTGAACGTTGTTTCCATGGGTACCTCTATAAAATATATGATGCATCCTGCGGGGAAAAAAAAATATTGAGGCCCATGTTCAGAAGTTATCTCTCAGCCCTCCTTCACTCCTCCTGCTGCGAAAACGCTGTGATATAGCTGTGCTGCTGGTGTGCATCAAGCTACTTTCATTGAGAATCACTCGCCTGTGTAATCGGGGAGAATAATTGAAACTAGAGTCCTGTACTTCAGGAAAAGTGACGGAACTAAGGTAATGACTTTACAGATCTCTTCTTACTCCCTAAGTACCCGTACTCCTTCGACTCTACTATGAACTCGACAGTTTCTTGAGCTGACAAAATATCGTCTCTCATGTACGTTATTTACTCAGGCTGGATGAGTATGAAAACAATGCTCTTCTTCTCCCAAAACTTGGGACTAAAAATTAGGGTGTTGTACTACTGAAGTATAGCTGTATAGGTGGTACCTTGCAATTCCTGGAGGGCGTTAAACCGACAGGACGTTAAGCTGGAGAAAGGGTTTTAAGCTCAACAAAATCGGAGAAAAGATCAAAAAAAGAAAAAAATGACAAACGGGAACTAAAATATCTCACAGAGCGTTTAGAACCATTTTGCAATTAGAACATAGTTTGGCAACGGATTATAGTTGAATTGCATAGTTCTCGCAATTTGACCCTAGTTTGACAAAAGATTAGGGTCAAATTGCGAGGTACCACCTACATACAAACTTTTCTTGTATTTTTTATATTCTTGCGCAAAATATCTTTGGATCACATTGCAATTAAATTATTCAAAAAAGAATGAAATTTATTCTTACCATTTTAAATGAGGATTTATCAGTATTAATGAAGAAACTGTTCAACACATTCCTATTCGGGTGGACTCTATACACAACGCAATTCAAAATGGCAAACAAAAATTCGTTGCAGAGATAATGTCCTTGGGAATGAGAAAACTGTAAAACACGGGGAGCAAACCCTATTAGGACCAAATAAAATTCGTTATACACAGAAAAATCGTTATTGACACGATCGTTGTAGAGAGAGTTCATCATCTGTAAATACTGTACAGCATTTTGTTTGCAGTAATCGTGAGAGTAAACAGAATTATCCTGCTGCGGTAAAGTAAGAAGCTTCTTCGTCCAAAATTTACTCGTTTCTCGTGAAAATAAAGTGAGAGCCTGAACCTGTTTTTTCCCTTGTGAAATTGACTCAAAGAAATTCGTGAAAATTGTCCAGGGCAAGAAAGAAATGACGATGCTTTCAGGCCAACATTTTTCGTGGCTTCGGGAAGCAAATGAAGAGCCACATCATTGAACCTTCTATATACAGGATAATCACTGAAGAATTCCAGGATTTCCGTTTCTGCTCTCATATCCGGTAATATAGACTCGCTCATAGATTTTTTGAGGATTTATGGCGACTTCAAAATTAGTTTCACCGGAAGATTATGCTGTGCTCCGCATCGCTAGTCAATATTACACACATAAATCAGAGCAGGGCGTCTGCCATTTTTGCTTGACGAGCGAAGGAAGCTACTTCGGGGTAGCAGGGAACTCAATTTATTTTGCTCTTGAAGTGCGGAAATCCGAAAGACGGACCCATAATAAATCATTTCTTCAGCGACAGTTTTGCATAGAAAACAGCATCCGTATTTCACTTCAAGTTTATTATATGCCGACGCGTTTCGCCCATGCTGGCAGGAATACTTTTCCCATCGATTATTTACGTGAGACCCCAAGATGCGGACGTAATTGGTGCATCAAGACGAGTGTCCCTAAGTCAAGATCTCCCTGAGTCAATTCTTAATTTCCCTTAGACTTACATTATATAATTTTTAATTGGTGTCTTATGTACAAAATACTCACCATAATTCCATGAAAACAAAAATCATCTCACAATTTAAACTGATTCAATCAATATATTTAAAGGAAGTCCCTCTATGCTGGAGGTAATTTTTTTAATTAGCTAAATGGATGGTAAATAGGGGAGAGAAATGGCCAAGAACTTTTCTTACATCAATTTTATAGTTGGAAATATCTGTTTCTTGTAATTTGGCCTAAAATGTATTTACAATTTTATAAAAAATGTCCCTATGTTGAGTCAGTGTCCTCATGTCAGGCCTTTTTAATTAATTTTTCATTAGAAAATAAGTGTCCCTATGTCTAATTGTCTGCAGGTCGAGGTGTCCGCAGGTGGGGGTCTCACTGTACTTGCTTGTAACAGCTGCTTTCCAACTTATTGCGCTCCTATTATTTACTCCGTGGGATTGTGGCTCTGTTGTGAAAAATACTCTGTACAGCGAACAAGTGATGAAGATCTGTTTCTTGTAATTTGGCCTAAAATGTATTTACAATTTTATAAAAAAATGTCCCTATGTTGAGTCAGTGTCCTCATGTCAGGCCTTTTTAATTAATTTTTCATTAGAAAATAAGTGTCCCTATGTCGAATTGTCTCGTCCACCCCCAGAGTGACATGAACGAACATTGTCGACGAAAGGTTGAATAACGCGAGGATAATAAATGAGGCACCCTAACACCGAGACAACACTTTTTATGAGACATGTCGCTTGTTCACTACTTCTGGAGTACGAGAGGAAGTCAGGGAGAGCAAAACTTGAACAACCTATTTCTTCCTTGTTCAATTCCATAAATGTAGAAAGCCCTGAAGAATTTTATTTTTTTCTTGATGTGGTTTTCCATCCATGAAGTGGGCTCGACCGTTGCTTTTGCATTTGGATGAAAACATATTATTTTAATTCTTTTCGGTCATCAGTAAAGTAAATTGAGCAAGCAAATTAAAATTTAATACTTTTTCATTTTTGTAAGTGAGTTGCTACATCAGCGCTACAGAATTTCAGCCTATTACTGACGTCAAGTCAGCATATCGTCGAAGACAAGTAAATATTCTATAGAAAATTTTAAAGGATTATTTCTATTGAAGTTTGGTATCGAGCTTTCCATTTTCATGGTCTGATTACAACCGATTTTAAAATCGCCGGAATTATATAAAGCCGAGGAGCCTATGTCAATTCGATTCCATCCTGTCACTTCAAATTTCATACTTAATGTCAGATCTACGTGATGGAAATTATAAACTTGACAAATTATCTGAGGAGCAAAAACTGATCTCTAAACAATAAGTAAGATGAAGAACCAAGGCACGTCCTCAACCTTTGAAAAATCATTACTTCACGGGGAAATATCTGCGGGGGTATCAATCATATTCCATCATGTTTTTGTACGATAATTTTTGAATTATAATGTACTTTTTGCGTCAATGTGTAAAGATTTTTCGATCCTTCGTCGAGCAATGCATGATGTATGGCCCGGACTTTAGCAGTTCTCTTATACTGTAGCACAGGATACGATTTTTATCCTATCTCAGTGTTTCCCCAAACTTTTTGGGCACGCGGACCAAACAATTTTCAAAAACGTTTGGCGTACCAGAAAATTTCCATGAAATTTTCTACGGGCCATCAAACTTCCATAGGGTTGTTTTTAAATAACCTGCCACAAAGTTCTTTAAAGGAAAATGCTATCGAAAACGTCAAGTTAATAAACAATGAAGCAGCCATCAGAGAATCTCTTTAAAAAATTGGATATCTGGGCTAGAAAAAGGTTTCTCAGAATGAAAACTTCAAATAATCTATTCATTCTATTTCAGCTGCAGGTGACCGTCGAACTTAAGGGTTAATAGGAGAAAAGTCAACTTTTAATTATCATCAGATAATTTCGGCTGATGCCAACGTCTTTCCAAAATTTCAGATAAACACAACATACTGTACTTCCTATTAGTTATATGTATTTTGTCATGTGGAAGAAAATTTTTCGCGGATCGGCGGATTGCTGGTTATACAAACCGCTGTTCTAAACAACATGTATGCTTCATTCGAAGATAATCTCTTTGTTCAACAATATGTTCAGAAAATGGAGATACTTATTCTCACGTGTGCCTGGTCGTACGATGAATTCACAGCATTTGCGCACAGGTGGTCAAAGGTGTCTCAAATAATGTAGCACTAAAACTAGTACCAGCGCAGCCATGAATTGATTCAGCTCGTTTCTCGAAGGGGCAAAAAGAAGCATACAAGAAAAGAAATTGTTGGGACACGTCTGGTTCACAGGCGTGATGGAAAATGAGATCCTTGGAAATGGCGTTAGAGGCACGGGAATCACACCTGCTCCGAATTTTTTCAAGCGCAGCGGGGGAATAAAACACCTGCGAGTATTGGAAGCCCAAAATACGATGCTCTCCTTTCCTCTTCAACAATCTTACGGCACGAATCGGACGGATTCTGAACCGAGAAAACAACCAGAATATTCGATACACTGTCCGTCATCTGCGTAATATAACTCTTCAGCGTCACTGGCTCGCGGGAATGTTGGCGTAAAAGACACAAAAAGCAGGAAAATGGGCACATTGCCCATTTTCGTTGCAAAAAGAGGACGGCAAAATAAAACAAATCCGGATCCCACATATCGTTCACGGCATCACCAACGAACATTATTGCATAAAACCACGACACGTCTCATGATTCCAACCTCGAGTCAAGATCCTTTAATCCATTTACAAGAGTACACCAAAGTCAGGATAAAGGACGGATGGATTCGATGTCTTTTTCCGTTTTTCGTCGAAATAAAATCTCAAATCGTATAACGAGTCCAACCTTATGAAGTAAGCACCAAAAATTCTTAACCATCCTTATTCTTTCTGAAATCCTTGAACAAATTTCCACGCAATGCACTTCCTCTCTCTTGAAAAAAGAAACAAAAATATATAATAGGTCCACCAAAATAAAAGAAAACAAATCTTCGAAAAAAAATAATAAGTAACGCATACTCAGACATTCGTTGGACATCGCATTTCGGTATCTTTCTTTTGTTTATCTACAAATTATACGAGCCAGGGCAGCTGCTCCGAAAATGCTCGTCGTTTCGGTGTGGTGCGAACTCCTTCTCCCCGAGACATTATCTGAAAAAAAATAATACAGTAGAATACATGTAAAAAGATTATCCAAGCGCAAAATTCAATGAACCCTCACGGATTTGAATAACCATCCAAAATGACTTCCTCGTTAAAGGCAATCCTTTATCAAACATACTATGATTTGATGAGCTGTCACTCTCATTATGAAGGCCAAGTTGGTGAAGTAACTGAACAAACATGACATCACGAGTAAACCATCTTATCTTGAAGTTCGACTAAAATTAATTCCCACCCTCGCTCAAGACCTAAGCGAACCCACGAACCCCGAAATGTAACCCAACTTACCAAGCCAGACTTAAAATATGAGTAAACAGAGCTAAACGATAAATCACCAACCTAAAAATTTGCCATTAACATGAACCTAAACCATTTCCCCAAGGAATACCCTAACCTTACCAAATGTCCATCTCATTGCAAAAATACAGCATCAAAAGTTCAAGTTGTAACTAACCCAACAACAACCTAATCTCAGAAAAACCTAAGCAACAGGTTTCCAGCTACTTGACTATACTAGCGTGAATTTGACCAAAAAAATCCCAATTATCTTTGTGAATTAAAAAATATAATATTCCGGTTGACAGATGGGGAACAGATATTGAACTTCAGTTATTTCTAGAGAACAAATAAGATTCGGATTGAAAGGGTTTGTTTGCGTTCCGCTCATGATTTAACTCAGCAGCTTACTAACTTCGATCTATATCCTAACCTAGTGTCAATATATTTGAACGTGAACCAACCCCTAAATAACTAAAATACAATGATCAAACATTCGACTAATCCAACTCAATACTGTACCTCTTACTGTATTTACAGTAATAACTGGATTTCAGGCAGAGATGACATAATTAAATCTTTCCAATTAATAGACCTTGACCTAATATCTTGAGCACCTCCATTGCAGGTTGACTGAGAGGCAAATTACCATAATTAAGAAGCACTACAATCGCAAGGTGCGTTTTCAACAATAAGAAAGAATAACCATCAATGGATGCATTCAAAAAAACAGCACCTTCTGTTCTAATTGCTAAAGAAACCCATGCATATACAGGAACCCCTTGCGGAAACGCAATATACTGTACAGCATAGAACTCACCTCAAACCGTCGGGCTCTTTGCGCCCGGGCATCGCAGGCCGCATGCCATTCGTTCTTCGTTCGATAGAGATGTACTGGCGAATCAGCCTGGCGATCTCGTGCGCCTGGTCAGTCTGTATACTGGTCACCTTTTGTTGCATCAAATTGCCGCACTTAAGGTCCAGAAGCATCGGCCCATCTCCTGCTTTCGACTTTCGCGTCGAGATGATTTCCGCAAACGGATAGAAGATCAGCGTCTCCTGAAATATGTGGTGGAAAGATAAATTTTCACCTTTTCGTTTACGAGAACAAATTTAACTGGCACCCGGAATGCTTCCGGAAAGACGAAAAATAAAATGCGCCTCTACACTTCTGTCGATAACGCGCAGGAATGATGAAAGGCTGACTACGTATGAAAGTAAAGTACCGGTAATTTCATTCTCCAGTCACACCCACGCATCAACAACAAATGATGTGCTTGATTTCATCATGACGTAGCTTCCGTGAAGGTTAGCGAAAAAACCACTTGCCAACTAATGCACTTATTACTGTATTTTCATCCTTTACAATAATTCACCGTAGTTACGTAAGATACTCAAGGGTATACAATTTCTTCTACAACCCAAAACACTACGCACTGTATTTCATGCATAGTTTGATTCGAAAATATGCGGTGCATTTTTAATTTTGAAAAATATTTCCAATGAAATTCTAGATGGCTTCTCATCGTCAACATCTTCAATTTCTTTCCACCCAACGTTAATTATTACTCCAAGGATGGAAAAATTGACCAGTTCCAACAATAGTGATGCATGACGCGAAGAGAAAAGATTCGAATTCATAAGTAGAAGGTTTTCCTAAACCAATCCAGCAATTTTGATGATCGGTAATCTCATTTTGCAAGAGATGATGGAATAATATTACTGTACTACGAAGTCAGACACGAATGAAACAGGAAATCGTTATTAATACACTCATGGTTGATTTTTCCTGTTGTATACCACTCAATCTCGCAAACAACAATACGGAAGAAAGGGAATGATCTTATAGCATAAACATCCCTATTTGAAAATTGAATGCAGAAGCAAAAATTGCGTAAAAAGCTCCTTATTTACAGTACTGTACGCTCTTCTCTCAAATATGAACACTGTCTCCAGAATTTCGATTAACTTCAGAAAGCACCCATTTATTTTTAAAGCGTGTTAATTTCCGACAAGATCGGCTCGCGGCATAACAAAATGAACACACTATCAGCAAGACCACCAACGGAAAAAAGGCTTACGTGAGTAACGAGGTCCAGGAAATGAACTCCGTGCTTGTTCAGCGCTAAAATGTACTCTCGTCGCTCCCGCGGGTCATTGGACGCGCCCGACCAATTACCGTGTTTTATTCAATCAATTCTAATTTTGCTTTCCAAAGACTCTGCTGTAAATAAGAAACTCAAGGTGTAAGGCTTGAAAACAGTCATTCTAGAATTAAAACCTTACAACCGTAGTTACGTAAGATACTCAAGGGTATACAATTTCTTCTACAACCCAAAACACTACGCACTGTATTTCATGCATAGTTTGATTCGAAAATATGGGTTGCATTTTTAATTTTGAAAAATATTTCCAATGAAATTCTAGATCGCTTCTCATATCGTCAACATATTTAATTTATTTCCACCCAACGTTAATTATTACTCCAATGATGGAAAAATTGACCAGTTCCAACAATATTGATGTGTGACGCCAAGAGAAAAGATTCAAATTCAAAAGTAGAAGGCTTTCCTAAACCAATCAAGCAATTATAATGTTCGGTAATCTCATTTTGCAAGAGATGATGGAATAATATTACTGTACTTCGAAGTCAGCCACGAATGAAACAGGAAATCGTTATTAATACAGTCATGGTTGATTTTTCCTGTTGTATACCACTCAATCTCGCAACCAACAATACGGAAGAAAGGGAATGATCTTATAGCATAAACATCCCTATTTGAAAATTGAATGCAGAAGCAAAAATTGCGTAAAAAGCTCCTTATTTACAGTACTGTACGCTTTTCTCTCAAATATAAACACTGTCTCCAGCATTTCGATCAACTTCAGAAAGCACCCATTTATTTTTAAGCACGTTAATTTCCGAAAAGATCGGCTCGCAGCATAATTTTTACTTGTGTGATAGTCGTTCTGGTGGTTGCCTTTTTTCCGAATGCACTCATTGCTCCAGGTCCTTTACTTGAGGCACGAACAAGTCGCGATTTTACATGAGAGCAGCGAGGGCGCCCAGTAACCCAACACGTGTCACAGCAAAAAAACTCGAGCCGAACAACGGCCACTTCTCCAACGTTTCTGAAATGGCCAACGGAGAAAAAATCGATTAAACATCAGACCGATGATAATTAGCAAATCAATTAGCTCAAGTGGATGACAGAGTAAAATATAAGTAAGTGGATTTCAAAGTTAATGAACAATAAATCTGACAGAATATATGCATGAAAAATCCTCAAGAGGTTACGGGTCGAAGGACCATGAGGTCAGCAAACAACGATCCCTTGCTTCAAGACCGCAAGGACAGAAGAGAACAGGGGAAAAAGTTACTCAAGTGCGCATGGACAGGAGAGATTTTGACCGGAATAAATCGAAGTCAAACGAGCACGAGACCACAACATCACGGATGTTAAAAAACGGAACGGATTCAGGAATTGAAGCAAGTACTGTACTTCATGGAAGATGAATTCAATTTTCTCGGAACTTCTGAAATCTGGAGTAGAAGCATGCATTTACGCAAGTGCTCGAGCAGATTATTCTTCTTCCGAAGCTCGACGGGAAAATTTATGATCAGCAAAGAGGGAATAAGATCAGATAGCCTAAGCTTTTGGGTACATACATTTCGCAGTAAGGAATATTTCACAGCAAATGGCTCTTGCCATGAAGTAAGGGTCGAGAAAAATGATGAAAACGCTTTTAGTTGAAATAAGTCTCACCCAGAACTTGAGCCTTCGCCTGAATTGGAGTGATGCCATTCTCTTCAACGATCTCTTTCCAAGAACTCTGCACCAAATTCACCCATTGAGGCGGCTTGATATCTCTTATCGTCAAAGCCGGCTTCGGCAGCACAAACTTGACCTCCTTCATAGTGGGCAAATGTTCCATGTCTGTGGCGCGATGCAGCAAAGCTGCAATCTTGGCGATATCGTACTGAAACACAAAGAGGTATACACTCGAGTTACTTTCTCTGATTCGTAACCAGTATACACAAAAAGTATGGATTGCATGTGCTTACCACGTAGTCCTGTTGCAGCGCCTCGCCTGGCATGACAAGCAACAATCCCTCAAGATAATCGGGGGCGATTTGATTAAACACGAGCTCAATGTACAGCTGATTATCCAGCCTCAACGGGTAGTGCCAAACGGAGCGGCAGAAAATCAAGTAGAATATCTGTTGAAAAAAAGTAAACAAAAATGTTTGTACTGTACACTTCAAGAAGAAGGATCTGCATACACAACGTTGCTTGAGGAATAAGAAAAACGAATAACTGAATGGTACTGATTACCCAGCACGATTCAACTTGACAATTCCACGGAATTCAGCGTACTACCGTATTTTGATTGATATGAAGACAAACGACCATTACAGCACACAGCTTCGCGTGATTTCCAAGAATATTATTTCAACACAGTATTCAATTTTGAAGAGAGACAATGTCGACGATAAGGTCATAAAAAAGATCCAGCAGATATTTTCCCGTCCTGGCCTTTTCTTCACATAAAGTACAGATTTTTTTCAACAAGATTTTGCTCCTCGGAATGCCGAAAAAAAACAAATTGAATAGAATTGCAGAAAATATTCCATATTCTTGGATTTCTCAGGTTCGAAGTGATCTTTTCTGCGCTGAATGAGAGGCAAATGAATGCCCAAACGATTTACATAAACCGTAGAAAAAGGCTGATTTTTTTTTTTTTGCACTCCGTTACATTAATACTGTTCTTCCATCACAAATGGGTAAAAATCTTGAGATGGAAAATTATTCTTGAATAATGTACCAGAGAAAATCCGAGCAATCGTTCCCAATTATCTGATTATTCAAACTAAACTTATTTTATACTAACTCATTTTTTTTTTTACAGTACTTACAGTCCTTGATCTGTTCATGAACGGTCACAATGCTGTAGATGAATTAGTTTGTGAAAAACCAACATCAGGGAATTTTATTCTTTCGTTAATTTTCAAAATCGATTCATACTTGAAAAATAAAATAAAAATTAGTTCCGCGGATCAAAACTTACGTGCTGCTTCTTGTGCAACTCCGTAGTGACGTCCAGGATGTATTCATTCCTGGCCAATGGCACGGTAAAAGTGTCGCCTTCAACGATGCAGTACAAGGAATATTCCTCCATCTCGTCCGGATTGTGGATATTCAACACTCCGCAAATTTCCTCGATAATGTCCTGCAAAAATCCAACCGCATTGCAAAACAAAGTTCGGAAATGAAGAGCAAAAATAACGAGTCAAACCTGAACAACGGTTGTGGACTTCGTGTTGATGACACGTTCTGTGCCACCGGGAAGTCGATAAATCTGTCGCTTGGAGTTTCTGCCCGCAGTTATGGCCGTGATTTCTTCAATGCTCGGCACGTTCTTCCTGCCCTCGTACTTGAACGTTTTTCTCAGGTTTTGTAAGCACACCAGGGCCGTGCCTGGTAAATAAAGAAAAATAAGATGCAGTGAGACCCCGGCATACCGACGCACGAACATATACGGACAATGCGCATAAGTTAGAAAACTTGAAACCCCAAAAATATGTCCCGACATCTGGACAATATCTAAATATAGGGACACTCTCCGATACTGCAGATATAAAAAATTGAAAATTTCATTCGAAAAAATTTTTACATCTCTTGATTAAATTGAGCTATTTATGTTCAAAAAAAATGAAAACACATTTAATCATAAATTCTCTCTATAATTCATAGTGAAAAACAGGCTGATTTTGTGCCCTTATATTTTCAGAGTTTTTTCTGTCATCTGTGCACAGTACAGCAAGACTCATTCTTGTTGTTCACTTCCTGAACTTCCTTTGATGCAAAATGATCAGATTCCATTTGGTTTTCCCCAGCAGTTATTTGATTTATCTTGAAGCTGAGGGAAACATTTTTTTATTCAATTTCTGGGGGAGGGGATTATTTTTAATTTCTGATCAAATGGAGAACATATTAAATATGTTTGCATTGAAGTCTACGGGAAAGCGTGATCCGACATGCGGATAGAGGATCAATTTGAACTTGAATTTGAGGAGACAATTTTTGTTCAATTTTGAAAAAAAAATCGGTGGGGGAGGGTGGAATCATTCTTATCTTTTGATACAATGGAGAACTGATTAAATACGTTTGCATTGAATTCTATGGGAAAACGTTATCCGACACGTGTACGCTTCGTTACGTAGCCACAATAAAGGCCCAAGCACCAATTACATCCGCATCTCGGGGTCCCACTGTCCATGCGTTCAGTTTAAAAATATTCCGACTCGACTGACATGGAGAAATGCGGGACAGGGCAGGACAGAGAAGAAGAACACGGACAATAATAACGTACCGTGATAAGCTCGACGCTTGTCATACGCAGCGTTCTCCAGATACTTGAACAAATACGGACGCAACAGGTTCGTGCATGTGAAATACGCGGCGAGGATCGAGAACAATCTGGTCGGCGCAACACGCCTCAGACCAGCTCGTGAGAACAACAAGCAACAGACGAAGTAGTGAACCGTTATGTGGAGTAAAGCCTCGAGAAACACTAATATTGTCAAGACAGCCAGGTGTATTTTTTTTTTAAGAATGAAAAATTAGAAAAAAAAGCCGCGAACCAGGAAAGTCTTATCGATACAGTAAAGGAAACAAATGGAGAAAGCTTTTGAAAAATAAGCCAGATTAAGATGGTGAGAGCTTTTCCAAACGTGGAGCCAACCACTCACAACCCATCGATTGGATGCTGATGAAAATTTGCAACATATTGTCCTTTATTTCCCGCTTCAATATGTAAATTTCGATCCGCTTAGATGAACTGATTGAATTTCTAAATTTCCCCAGGAAATGACGCGATTGTTCATTTTGTGAGATTTTTCTGGGAGACTCACATCTGATTCACAAAAGAAGAAAAATAAGGAACTAAGTACAAGACTTCACGCCCAAAATATTTGGATGGTTGACACTAAATATTTCTATGTTAATGTGAGAATCATCGACTGAGATTTCTGGTGCGGTACAATAATTTTCAAACATAGCTGCCCCCAAAACACTGAGTTCGAATAAACGTGGACTCTTTTTTACAACGGAACTCAATACGAATGTGGCCATCGGACATTTTGGGCAACTGCCATTGCAAAATACATTCATTGAAAACTTCAGAAAGCAAGGAATCAATCATACTCATAAATAGAACTACAAATAAAAAATGAAAAAATTACATTACAGCTGTTGAAGAAGTTGGTCCAGAAATTCGTTTCATCTCACAACAATTCAAGATCACAGACATGAGATTCAATCATCAAAAGGTGCGTCAACTCGATACGGTTAAAAGAAAAAAAAAACTTACCACTCTTGCGAAACAACGGTAAAAATGTTGAAAATAAGTCACCCGTTTTCATTCACAAATTTACTTTGTTTTGAAGGATGAGGCTTTTGAAGAAAATCCAATTTGGTGAGGGAATTTTCCCGCTAGTGAAAACTATAGAAAATGAAAATGACGGGGACACAAAAAAAAGTGAGAGCGGGTTAATTTACTATTTTACTTGATTAGAGGCTCTCTTTTAAAGAAAATCTCTTACGTTTATATTATAGCGTCGCATTGAAAAGCCAGAAGAAAATTAATTAAATTTCACTCACCCTGAGCAGAGCGTAAACGCAATCAACTTCGGTCTGTTGCGGATCTTTTGATCCCGGCGAGGCCATGGGGTAGTCGCCCATGTACCGCATCACGGCCAAGAAACATTCGACTGCCAATCGGTTGAGCTCAGACGACTCCAACTTCAGCAAAGAGTTCTGAATCGGCGACCTTGTGAACTTCACCATGTCCACCTACATTTCAGACAAAAAGCCNTCGTTACGTAGCCACAATAAAGGCCCAAGCACCAATTACATCCGCATCTCGGGGTCCCACTGTCCATGCGTTCAGTTTAAAAATATTCCGACTCGACTGACATGGAGAAATGCGGGACAGGGCAGGACAGAGAAGAAGAACACGGACAATAATAACGTACCGTGATAAGCTCGACGCTTGTCATACGCAGCGTTCTCCAGATACTTGAACAAGTACGGACGCAACAGGTTCGTGCATGTGAAATACGCGGCGAGGATCGAGAACAATCTCCAGCCGCGTTGTGCGGAGTCTGGTCGAGCACTCTTGTTGTTCGTTGTCTGCTTCATCACTTGGCAATACACCTCATTTCGGAGCTCTTTGTGATTATAACAGTTCTGTCGGTCCACATAAAAAAAAAATATGAAAAATTAGAAAAAAAGCCGCGAACCCGGAAAGTCTCATCAATACAGTAAAGGAAACAAATGGAGAAAGCTTTTGAAAAAGAGGCTAGATTGAGATGGTGAGAGCCAACCACTCACAACCCATCGATTGGATGCTGATGAAAATTTTCAACATTTTGTACCGTTTTTTTTCCCGCCTCAACATGTGCATTTCGTTCCACTTGGATGAACTGATAGAATTTCTAAATTTCCTCAGGAAATGACGCAATTTTTCATTTTGTGAGATTTTTCTGGGAGACTTACATCTCATTCACACAAGAAGAAAAATAAATAACTAAGGACAAGACTTCACGCCCAAAATATTTGGATGGTTGGCACTAAATATTTCGATTTGACAAATGTGAGAATCATCGACTGAGATTGCTGGTGCGGTACAATAATTTTCAAACATAGCTGCCCCCGAAACACTGAGTTCGAATAAAGGTGGTCTCTTTCCACAACAGAACTCAATACGAGACCAAAAATTAAATGTAGAGAGAATTTCGTTGTAGAGAAATCATACAACATGGGGAGAGAACCCTCTGGGACCTAAAAAAAAAATTTACAGAGAATATTGCTGTTGAGTATTGTATAATCCACCTGTATAATGAAGCCAAATTTACCGAGCCCAAAATTCAACTAGAGGTGTCAAGACTCGAGTAACCCAGAAAAAAAAAATGAACCGAGAAACGTAACCTAAAACAGAAGAACTCGAGCTTTAAGAAACCAGACCGTAACATAATTACACTGAACTATAACTTCCCTCGAGTTGGATCAAAATTAGCCATCGAACATTCTGGGCAACTGCCATTACAAAATACATTCATTGATAACTTCAGAAAGCAAGGAATCAATCATACTCATAAATAAAACAACAAATGAAAAAATGAAAAAAATTACACTACAGCTGTTGAAGAAGTTGGTTCAGAAATTCGTTTCATCTCACGACAATTCAAGATCACAGACATGAGATTCAATCATCAAAAGGTGCGTCAACTCGATACGGTTAAAAGAAAAAAAACTTACCACTCTTGCGAAAGAACCGTAAAAATTTTGAAAATAAATCACCCGTTTTCATTCACAAATTTACTTTATTTTGAAGGATGAGGCTTTTGAAGAAAATCCAATTTGGTGAGGGAATTTTCCCGCTAGTGAAAACTATGGAAAATGAAAGACGGGGACGCAAAAAAAGTAATTTACTATTTTACTTGATTAGAGGCTCTTTTTCCAAGAAAATCTCTTGCGTTTATATTATAGCGTCGCATTGAAAAGCCAGAAGAAAATTAATTAAATTTCACTCACCCTGAGCAGAGCGTAAACGCAATCAACTTCGGTCTGTTGCGGATCTTTTGATCCCGGCGAGGCCATGGGGTAGTCGCCCATGTACCGCATCACGGCCAAGAAACATTCGACTGCCAATCGGTTGAGCTCAGACGACTCCAACTTCAGCAAAGAGTTCTGAATCGGCGACCTTGTGAACTTCACCATGTCCACCTACATTTCAGACAAAAAGCCAAAAGTGAAACGAATGAATTGGTACAGTACATTACAGTAATTCATATCAAAATATTTGTTTCCCGCTTCCCAAAGCGACTTTGGTTGCGCCACGGAAGCCGCTTCCGTCTTGTACACTATGTACAGTACCAGGGAATCACAAATCTACGCAATTAAAAAAAATGCATACCCTCGGGCTATTCAGGTGCGAGATGAAATCAGGATAATCTATCACGAAACCTATGCTGTCATCGTCATCGTCGTCGTCGTCGTCGACGCCTAATTCATTTTTAGGAGAGGTCCGGCCGATATCGAACGTCACAAACAAATTTTTCGACTTTTTCACATCTAAGTCAAGAACCATGGTCTTTTCTTTTCTGTGAGAATAAAACTTATAATCCAACACAGATTATATTTTTATTATCCAGGAGAGTGAAATAACAGCACTAGATCGGGAAATAGGAGGGATCGATAACTGTTTTCATTCTTTCCCACCAAAAGTAGAGTAGGTTTTGAAAAATGCTAAAACGGTACACTCTGGAAATACGCAGAGGACGCATTTATGTCTCGAAACCCAGCTGAGGTGTATTTTGCGCACAAAAATGCCCTTTTTCGGCGTTAAATTTGAACTGCTTTCTGTTTTAAATTCTCGAGAGGCATTTCTCGGCAAAACAATCTCATCTAATAATATGTCTGGCAGGTTTCGTTTCCCCCATACATTTCTATTTCTTATACCCCGCGAGGAAATGTTTTCTAAATAATCTGCGGAAAGCTTATCGCACTTTCGGTAGGGGTGATGTGTGTTCCAGAATCAGGGATTTTTTTTTTTTTTTTTTTTTTTTTTTTTTTTTTTTTTCAACATTCACTCAACTGTTCCCAGACATAAAATTCACGCTTTCATTATGATGTACAGTCCAAAATTATCCTTCCAAAATGAAAAAAGGATTGTGGCCTTAAGCGATTCATCTATAAATGGCAACTTATACTCAGGGAACGGCATGTAATTGCATCAATGGGGGGCAATTATGTAAATGAGCAATTGCACATAATCAACGGTTGGGGAATTCCAGGATTTACAGGAGCATTCAACGAGTTGAGTTTGATGCCGACGAACGGGTGATAAAGTTTTCATAAGAAATGCACAATCAATGGCACATAACTTTGGGGCCACAACGCATTAGCACCGGATTCCGAATCAAAAGTCACTGCATGTCCTCAATTTACAACAGAAAAATCAACTGAATAATCGTGTTTGTCCTTTACGGGATAGTTTTTGGCGATTTGGAACACGAGGAACTCGAATAACTGAACAACCAAGGAAAAAATGTACGGCTCAAACATGCATCTCAAGGAGTTCAAGCAAAATATAGTCCATCGAACGCAGAATATATTCGCACGCAAAATCAGGGGGGGGGGGAGGATATGGCAAACGGAAAGATACTGTTACTGCCAGTAAAACCCGTGATCATTGGTGATCGGATGGTCAATCGTCTACTCAACACTCGACAGCAAGTGGCCCATAAAGGATAGTCGTAGGCATTTTTTTTTGCGAAAAACCCAGGAAAATATCCTGCTCGTCAAAAAAGAAATGCTTTCCAAGATTATCACATTTAGATCGTCCATCAAAATTACTATAACTTCAGACGGCTTTCGAGAAAATGAACGCATTCAAACTTGGGGACCCAAACGAAAAATTGCCGTTGTTTCACACATAAAATATACTGTCAGTAATTAACTCATTTAAATCTTCGACAATACATCGGGATTGGTTTCGTCAATCGTTCGCTTTTTCTTTTCGAACATACGGCCACGGAAATCATTTTGCCGAATTTAAAAATCATAATTTCCTCGTTACAGCTTTTCTAATACTGGTTACATTGGAGAGACGAGGATTGGAAATGCTCCGAATCATGGAAAGGAGGTAAGGTGTAACTCGTAAGACTGTCATATGTTATGCGAATTTTGAAACTTTACAAAAATGCATCAGGAATTAATAAACATCTGCTCACTAAAAATCTGACATAAGTGTTCCAGAAAAAAGTTTCTGATCTTGGCAATTTCTTTGTCGGTGATGCTAACTAGCACGGTCACCCGAAAAATTCCAAATGGCGAGAAAAAAAAATTTCCCTCAGTTCTTGAAAATAGCTTGCTCAACGTCATTGTATTCGTCCCACCGGGAATTCAAGCACTCCGACTCGAGAAATTCGGTATTTACGAATTTGATTTCAAGGTACAGAAGTGAGAAAACCTTTTTTGAATCATCCTCCATAAGTCTATACTGTATATTATGTATTTATTTCCGAATTTTTTCCTTCTGTCCACGATTTTCGATCGCACAAAGTAGCAAGCGTGAATCAGACAACAGGTAATTTTCGAACTGCCCCAAATATTCGCCTTCTGTTTAAAAAATAAATAATAAATAAAGGCTTCGATTATGCCGCTACGAAAACTAATTATACAGCACTATTTCTCACGCAGACATGAAGAGCACTCGCGCACATGGCCAGACTGATTTTTCGGGCTCATCCGACGCGTTTTTCGACACACATGGCCTCACAACAACACCAACAACATTAAAGCACTACTAGCAATCCACCCACTTTCTATTGAGAGAGAGAGAGCTTTTTTTTTTCTTCTTCGTCATAATTAACTCAGAAGCTCCCACAAAACGGTATTGTCATCAAGACGCACAGGGGGCATGTGCGCCGCAGTGGCGCAACGAACTCCTCGTCAAGTGAAAAGAAGACAAAAGCATGGAATTTCTTGGGAGACGAATCGCGAAATCATTTCGACATTCATCCACGCCGGCTTGGCGACGAACAATAGCCCTCTTGCCAGGTTCCTACGCATGCAAGGCTGAAAACGGTTCCTCAACGACACCAAAAGCGAAACCCAAGTGACACGCAAGTGTGTGAGGATGCATTCCGGTCAACCCGCAGTCATGTTTCGATTCAACGACAAAAAAAAGGGGGGGAGAGGGAATTAAATGGGGAAACGAGTACAACCACGTTGTAAGTGCTCTTGGCGCGGAATGACCCAAGAACAAAAGGAACGTAATACAACCGCGACCATGTGGAAAACGAATTTCGTTATCGCACTCCATTAAAGCACGGACGGAAGTAAAAAAAAAAAAAAAAAATGCGTCGCATGGAAAGCGAAACTGAAGTGGATTTCTCATGGAATGCGAACAGGTACAATTAATTTAATCATCATCAAAATTAATGAGGACAATACATCTCAGGTACTCGGTGTTCCGAAAAATCGGACATCACGTCAACCATTGCCCGCAATTTCGATTCAATCTGACCGAGGAAATAAATTGGCATGTTTGAACTTCGTAATTCAAACTTCGAGTCGATTCATTTTCTTTTGATACGTGGATCATTCGAGTTGACGTTTTTAAAAATTCGCAAAAATATCAGAAAAACAGTATTATTTTTCGTCAATCAAGATATTTTTCCGATCATCAGAATAACTTCCTTTTAATAATGTGTTTCAGGTTCGGGTTGAAGGAATATGCTTATGGACAAGAATTTCTGGATAATCGAAGATTTATTGCATATTTTATAAGTTTCTTAGTTGTGCGGGCGTGTTTTTTTTTAAACACGCGGTAGCCATATCGGCAAAACTAGAATCATAAACGGTTAATACATAATTTAAAAGAGGATGAAATGACTTCTTATTCGAATATCGCATCAACTGAAACGTTCAAAATAGACATGTATTGTGGCTCGAAAATGTTTCTCCAGCTTCCTAATGGTAAAAATACTGTACACCGAATTCAAGTAAATACAATGTAAAACTGGAGCAAAATTCTCGGACAATTTAGTTCACTATATATAGAGAAGAAAACATTTGCAAACGCGGTTCGAGCTTTCGACGGGCTCCGGCCAATTGAGTTTCCAAGTACAGTCTTTATAAAAAGAAGAGAGGAAACCTGAAATGTTTCCTGCCATGTTCGAGCTTTCAGTGCATAGCATTTCATTCGTCGACGTATTTAACGTACCCAAGATTTTCTGCACGATTCGGCGAAAGATTTCAAGACCTCTCGAAATCTTTCGACCGCCGACGCTGACGATGTTGCGTCGTCAGTTTCTTCACATTCTTCACTGCCGTCGCTCGCCAGCGGCACAATGTAATCCACGTGACGCATAATCAACACGGGCTTTCCGAATGGAGTGTCTATCTTTCAAGAATGACTTTTGAACAAATCCAACACTTTTAATACAAGAGGATTGTCACCGAGGCAATCGAAATATTTCGTCTTCGAGGGAGATAACAATCGAATGTAAAAAAAAACAAAAACAGACGATAACCGTCTTCACTAGCATGCAAGACGCGAGTGAACCGAAGATATAGTATGTGCATTTTTCAGCCAACTACTGTGAACTGCAAACGTTCGCTGGCCAATTTAAGAGGCACTATCATTTGTTCAACTGCATTAACCAATTAGTTAACCAAATTTTCGTTTCACACTTCATCACCACAATATTTTACAAATAAAGTCCGAATTCATTTAATTTAAAAATAAGTTACCCTTTCAAGCAAAACATCACTATGATTTTAACATAACTTCAGAAAAAATCTGAACGGATAAAATTGTCGAACTCTATTTCACTTCTGTGCTTTCGATTAGCCGTTTTCTGTAGAATATCAAGCTCAGGACATGTACTTCAAGCTTATCTACTGCGGTGGAATGGTTTTCGTTTAGGTAATAAGATTTGAATTATTCCAGATGTTCTTATATTTTTTAAAACAACCCAAAAATTCCAACTTCCACAGGGGACTAACATAACATCGATATACCAAGACGTATAAAAATTCCTGAGCAGCTTGTTTCTTCCGTTTTTCCTGCGTCAATAAAATACTGTAATGTATTAGCCAAAAGTCCCCCATAAAATTAAGAGTTTTTGAGGGTTGCGGGGAACAGCCTCGGAGTTCGGGACGGCTTCTAAGGAAATACAGACGGAGATTCGAAAAAAATTGACATAAGAAGTTAT